AATGGCTTGACCTTTTCAAAAGCAGCGATGTTTTTTAGGGTGGGGCCGTCACTCAACTCTGAGGGTTGAAGGTTGCGTGACAATAAAAAATGTAGCGGGGATTAAAACCAGCAACACGGTGACTAAGTTTTAAATTTAGGCATGGTTCCACTCTGTCAAAAATAAAATGATTCGTCTGAGAACCCCTTAAGAATTACATTACAACTGTAAATACCCATATCATTTCCTTTGGTATGGTTCTGCATCACAGCGTACTCCTTGGCCGTCATCTGCCAACGAGGAACGCAGGCCATTACAGGGAAATATACCCTGTCCTTGTAGTCAAACGTCAGGGAGAGAGTGAATACAAAAGATGGAGCAGGTCCTGTTTCAACGTCAAAGAACAAATCTGAATACCTACAGAAAAATGATGATACAACTTGAATATGTCAAAGTGACATTCCTTGTTTCAATAAACAAGTTAAAACTGGAGAGCCATTTTCAAAAACAAAAGGGAATTTGCCTGGAAAACATTTTAGTTTAAGTTCAAGTTAAAATTAATATATTTGCCACATATTTAACAGTGTGCCTAAATACGTTACATTATTTATTGGCAGGAGATCTCTGCAAGCCCAGTTAAACTTTTCTCAGGAGATTCCCCCTAGTATTATTATCACTGAGAATTAACTCAAGGCATTCGTATAATCAGTATGGTGGCCTTACTGTTTTTGTTTGCCAAACAGCTATTGTATATAATTTTTTTTTCTCTAAGTTTCATGTAATTCTTGTTCACATTTCTGCACTGAAGACTAAGTTTTCTTTAAATCAGCTGACTAGCTGTTCCATATCATAGCCGCCCTACAGATATATGATTACTTTGATGTGTACGTGAAGTTGAAGTCAGGAATGGGCTTGTTGTCGGTTCCAATGAGGTTCGAAGCGATTACAGTACCAGTAGAATCTTTGGCACGAACGGTGATAGTGTCGCCTGTCTCATCGTCCCAGGGATTATTCGCCAAATTCACTGCAAAGCGAGCGTTTAGACCATCAAAGGTGCAGCCACCACACAGGGCCGCGTGATATTGCAGGGATGTGGACCCTGGGTAACCCTGATCCTTCTGAGTGATGAACTGTACTCGAACTGGAATGGCGATTGGGGCCAACAAGTGACTTTTCTCCAACTCGATCATTTCGATGGAGTATGCTTGAGCTGTCACCAAAACAGCGCCTAGGGATAAAGCGAGAATCTTGAGTATCCTGCTTCCTGTTTTGATATGCCAATTTGTTATGCACCATTTTCTTTTCTTTTCCCTTTCTGACGTAGTAAAGTCGAGAATGATGACAGCAAGAGAAACAGGAAACAAATAAGGCTCATAAAACTTAGGAGAATTGAGATGAGTTACAAAATACAAAGCTAAGTTTAACATGAGCTACGGGTCAGTTTTTTTGGCTACTTCGCTTCAAATCACGAGCCATCCCAAAAAACCACCGCAAGATCTGGAAATAAAATATTTTAGATACAAAACTTCCGTATGGCCATCCTGTTACCCTTGAAATGATTCCTGGGAGTCTGAGACTGGCTGGGCTATAACAGGTCGACGCAGCACGGAAAATATCTACCGAGAATACGATGATAATGATCGATAATAAAACAACAATGGTGGCTTCTGAAAACTGGGTCAGTAAGATAAAAAAGGACGCTGATGTAATGCGATAATGTGCTCTTTCAGAATACTTGGTTTACCGCTGAAAAAACACTTGGTTCATCAAGCAACGGTATAATTTTCGCAAGATGATCTCTGTTGTCATGACGGAAGCAGGGCTAGGAAAAATGGTGCACCATAAATTGTGCTAAAATTTGACGCCACTGAAAGTACTTGATTAAAGTNTTTCGATGGAGTATGCTTGAGCTGTCACCAAAACAGCGCCTAGGGATAAAGCGAGAATCTTGAGTATCCTACTTCCTGTTTTGATATGCCAATTTGTTATGCACAATTTTCTTTCCTTTTCCCTTTCTGACGTAGTAAAGTCGAGAATGATGACAGCAAGAGAAACAAGAAACAAAGAAGGCTCATAAAACCTAGGGGAATTGAGATGAATTACAAAATACAAAGCTATGTTTAGCATGAGCTACGGGTCAGTTTTTTGGGCGACTTCGTTTCAAATCACGAGCCATCCCAAAAAACCACCGCAAGATCTGGAAATAATATATTTTAGATGAAAAACTTCCGTATGGCCATCCTGTTACCCTTGAAATGATTCCTGGGAGTCTAGACTGGCTGGACTATAACAGGTCGAAGCAGCACGGAAAATATCTACCGAGAATACGATGATAATGATCGATAATAAAACAACAATGGTGGCTTCTGAAAACTGGGTCAGTAAGATAAAAAAGGACGTTGATGTAATGCGATAATGTGCTCTTTCAGAATAGTTGGTTTACCGCTGAAAAAACAAAGCGACGGTTTAATTTTAGCAAGATGATCCCTGCTGTCATGACGGAAACAGGGCTAGGAAAAATGGTGCTCCATAAATTGTGCTAAAATTTGACGCCACTGAAAGTACTTGATTAAAGTTGTAGACTGCCNGATGATCCCTGCTGTCATGACGGAAACAGGGCTAGGAAAAATGGTGCTCCATAAATTGTGCTAAAATTTGACGCCACTGAAAGTACTTGATTAAAGTTGTAGACTGCCTTGATATTTTTCTCAGAATATATCTTTGTCGATACAAGGCACTGCGATGACATATTTTCATAAAGAAATTATTCACCAGCTAAAAAAAAAAACAGACATACATTTCAAAACAATTCTATTTACATCGAGACTTCGCAGCAAGCAGACCATTTGTACCAAAAACTGGAACGTGTACAAATTCTTTTTTAAGAGGGAAAATCTATCATTCTCATCTGAATTCAGCAAGACTTGGCCGGAAAGTCATCGAGGTGAATACGGCTGTCACTTCTTGGCAGTTACAATTCTTCGATTCTTGGAATGTCCCGGAATCAAAACAGGTTTTTCTCGGAAAGTTGCTCTCGTGTTGCACTATACTTTGAAATTCATGAAGGGTTTGAAATGCCACTTTCAATTTGCTTGTTCGGCTGCATTTCTGGCCTCCGCTCGAATACCAGAACGATTACAACACGAGGGTAAGAGTGACAAAGAAAACCGAGATATTAAATTAAACAAGAATAAAAGAAGGCATACCCACTGCTCCAAAAAATGTGAATGATAGAAAGAATAGTTGCTTGCTATGAGATTGTTCTCAAAATTATGCATTTGAAAGGCAACAGAAGGCACTTCAAGGAACGTTTTTCCTAAAATCAAGCACAAACGACTCCAAGTGCAACAAGATGCGATCCTTCGCCTTCGAAGAACGCGAAGTTAAAGAACTAAAATATCTAAAATAAGAATTGTCTACGAATAATGATTGAGAGTATAGGCATTAAGCGCAGGTAAAGCATGTTTCGTGCAGTAAGCTCGTCAAAACCACAATAGTTCAGCTAGTTATAAGTCATCAGAACCGACTGGTAGCGTCTAGAAGATGCATCATGGAAATTAGGAATCACTGAATCACTAGTGAGCTTAAGGTTTTCATTTACCGGTTATAAAACTTACCGAGAAGAAACACAGCATACATCTCTGGCTGAATACTGCTACGCGAAGGCCACTGCTCAAATGAAATTCAATTGTCTGACTGCAGTTGGTCAGAATGGTACATAAATTGTCCTTTGAGCCCCCTTTATAATGCGACAGCTATGGTGGTTGGTGTCGAGGCTTGACATTCAAAAATGTAAGTGTACACTCATTGAGTCACGTTTCAGGGGTTTAATCAATTTTTATTGATTTACTGATTGGTTGACTAAATTTAATGTGCCTCCGATTGGTTTTAACCTCATGACGCAGTCTAGACTTGTGGTCTTTGATCTCTACTTTTAATTCCTTGACAAATTTGGTCGATGTTTACCATTGTTTACCATATATTTCCTGTTTATTCTAAAAATAGTCTTCCAGAAACATTTCGTCACACCAGATCAGGTGATTTGCACGGCTGTGAACAGCAAGCGGAAATCAAGGCGAAGGTTTAAAATTATCTTACTTCTGAGAAACTTGACCAGACTCATTCTTTATTTTAATATCTACCTCGCCGGGTCTGTTTAGTTTTTAATGTGGCTCAAAGCTTGCGACCTATACTTTTTTTTAAAATTATCACATACCAGGTCTTTATATTTTATACAAGAAGTTTCAAAATTTCCTCTATACGTTTTGTCTAATAAAAATTCCCACAAAGTAGCGTTCTCTTTCTTGGAAAATGGCGTTATTTAGAAACTTTGAGTTTGAAAGGCGCCGAGGTTGGAAAACAATTTCTGAGAGTGCAATATTTTTTGCTCTAGTTCCGCTTTCTACGCGGAAACTTGGAAGCCTGAGGAATCAGAGTGTTATTCATGAAACCCTAACCAATTTTAAAGATGGTTTATCTAAATACCCTTAATTCTAAATTATCACGACTGGTAGTTCTTCGAAGAACAGACGTAATGCTTGCCCACCGGCGTTAGTCTTTATGCACATTAAGGTTATAATCGTCTGATTAAAATTATTTTCCATAACGTTGCCCACAAGGGCAATCAGAGATGTAAATCAGTCAACGGGACAGCATATCGACGTCCGTCTTTTCCCGGGAAACGATCACATCCGGTTCCATCAAACTCTGAAAAAAGGAGTGATCGGGATTGTGCAACGCATGCCTAATTCAGTTGCGTATTACGAATACTATTATAGGCGCTGAAGAGACTACTGATAAACTCCACAGTTTGCGTGACCTGGGGCCCGTTTCCCGAAAGCCCCGGAAACTTTTCGGGCCCGGAAAGCCATAGCAAAATCTCGAACCTTACGATTACAGCGCTGTTTTGTTCACGTATTCTGAATATGAACAGAGGTTCCCTTCGTACAAGAAGTTTCAGGCGTATACACTACTCCGTTTGTAGATACATATCATGAACTGAAAATGGCTTTACGGGCCCGAAAAGTGTCCGGGGCTTTCGANCAGGTCTTTATATTTTATGCAAGAAGTCTGAAAATTTCCTCTATACGTTTTGTCTAAGAGAAATTCCCACGAAGTTACTGTTCTCTTTCTTGGAAAACGGCGTTATTTAGAAACTTTGAGTTTGAAAGGCGCCGAGGTTGGAAAACAATTTCTGAGAATGCGATATTTTTGTGCTCTAGTTCCGCTTTCTACGCGGAACCTTGGAAGCCTGAGGAATCAGAGTGTTACTCATGAAACCCTAACCAATTTTAAAGATGCTTTATCTAAGTACCCTTAATTCTAAATTATCACGATTTGTAGTTCTTCGAAGAACAGACGTAATACTTGCCCACCGGCGTTAGTCTTTATGCACATTAAGGTTATAATCGTCTGATTAAAATTATTTTCCATAACGTGGAAATTCTTTTAATTTCACTTTTGGTTTCGGGTCAGACGACCTCACAAGGGCAATCAGATATGCAAATCAGTCAGCGGGACAGCCTTTCGACGTCCGTCTTTTCCTGGGAAACGATCACATCCGGTTCCGTCAAACTCTGAAAACAGGAGTGATCGGGATTGTGCAACGCATACCTAATTCAACTGCGTATTACGAAAATTATTATAGGCGCTGGAGAGACTACTGATAAACTCCACAGGTTGCGTGACCAGGGCCATTAAGAAACCTTCCGCAACAAGATGGAAGTATGGAAAAGGC